CCCGTTGGTTATCATCGTCTGGATACATGTGTGCCTCGCACTGACCATATACTCCCTCCCCTCCATCAGCTTCTTGTTAATGACCTTGCATGCGTAGTATTTTCCCGAAGTGATGTGGATCGCCTCCTTCACGATGGCGTACGTCCCACTCCCAAGCGTTTTGCCAGTGCGATACTGCGGTTGCGATGTGATTTAGCGAGGGGGGCAGTGTGGGCATATGCGTGAGGAGCGCGTGATGTCGATAGCAAGCGGTGCCGATTACCACGATGGGCGGTGTCGCGAGTCACATCGATCCGGCGCAGCAGTGAGTTGCAAATAGGCGAAGGCATCGGCCCAAGTTGAAGTAGAAGATGAGAGGAGTCGGCGATCCAATCGAATCATGAGTTTGAGAGAGGACGACGACGAGTAAGGAAAAGAAAGCAGTTCGAAGATCAGACTGGCAATAGTCGATTTACGCCAGAGACACATACCTGGCATGGCACGGTCGCGTTCGCTGGCATCAGGAATTCGTTCTGGTGCTTAACGGGATCGGTGTAGTCGTGCGCTGCGTCGTCTTCCCTTTGTTCCTCGAGAACACTATTGGCCTCGATCGAGACTGAGAGCTGAGCGGGTAGGGATGTCCGGGCGAGAGTCTGCGCAGATGCAGGTGCAGACGTAGGTGTAGGTGCGATGGAGGGTATAGTATTCCGTGTGTGTGTCCCTGGTGGTCTCAGCTAAAAGATGTTATATCAGTGAAAGTAGATCACAGCACAGCCGCGATGCTGTGCCCCCCGACGACATACCGCCGTGTCTAGATCTGCTTCTGACTCTGATGCCGCGGTCACTCGTCGCGCGAGCCAACGCGGGAGCTGAAAGTAGTACATGTGACCTTCAGGTGTGGTTGCGCGCGAACGCGATCGTCGGGACGGGGAGGAACCCATTTGGATGTGTCTTCAAGTTTGACTCGTAGTTTTGCAACTATATGTTTCGCCAGTTCTGACGATCGACAGAGTGAACGAGTCTATGGGAGGATTCTGAGACCGTGAAGATAGTATAGCAGTGGGCAAAGGCAGAAAGCACAGAAGTGCCTCGAGGACGACACGCGCTATTTTACAGTCTACGGCATTTAGCGAAGACAGGGATTTTCATATCAATGAGGACATTTACAACTTATCGGAACTATTCATTTGGCTAATGTTCCATTGCTTTGGGCAATGCTTCAGCACCCATTGGTCCAGGGTGAGCACTAGGATTATTCAACAACCATCGCACCAATAACGGCCGCAGCCAAGTCTCCTTATCCACCTCCGGCGCTTGTTACTCTGAAACGGAACGAGTCCTCGTTCCACGCTGTTCTCCGCAGCTATCTTATTTTTACTTCCAGCTGGTTGTATCTCATGTCGTCTTAGCTACGTCTCTGGACCAGCCGACCACTGTCGCTCTCATGGTCAAGTACGTCTGCGCTTTGACCTCGCCATCGGCTCAAGTTTGGTCCTGGTTAACGCTGAGTAACCCCGCCGAGCTCGAGAGGTGCCTGATAACCCTGGCTACTTGCGGCTTGCTAAACTTGGCGGTAGAGAAGTGTGATGTGGATCGCAAGAAGGACGGAGAATAGCTACCTCCGTCCTTCCTGAGTGCTGGGGCTACGAGAGTGCGAGAGCATGCCGTGCATTGTCCGAAATCCACGAAACTGTGGTGCGAGATAGGGTTTCGTGTCTGACAACAGACTGTATGCATTGCATGTGAACCGGAGAGCGGCGACTCGTACAGCAACTTCTGTGAGCAATCACCTGTCTATCGAGACGCCCGTACGGTGCGTGCAACGAAGATCTCGATATACTGCATCCAGGAATTGCGTCAACAGGTCCCAAGCACGATCGCGATGCTTTTGCTGACACGCTGGGAGACCCTGAGCTGCATGCAGCGCTTTCATAGCCCGACCAGAGATTCGGATGGCGAGGACCAGCTTTGGTGTCTAGACGCCGCGACATGTCAGGATCCAGAAACGCGTGAGGCGCGTGGCCAATGAGTGGGCGGCAATCTCACCGACACTTTCAATCTCGGCATAGAACCAACACCCGGTATCGACCAATGGCGAGATCGACGATGAGTCACAGAAACGCTCGAGACCTGAAGTAACAGTGACATGACTCGGTCGAAGGTTTCCTGCTTCTTATCCTCTTTGTATCCGGCAGCTTGCCAGTGATTGCTATGGGAGCGATGGGGATCCCGATCGACATAGACCACTGAGTAAGATGCAGCTCATGACACGCATGGCGGACCAAGCGCGACTTGGAAACCTCATGCATCATGGCCCACCCGCTCTTCAGATCCGGCCCTGTCCATGGCATGATCGGTTTCCGCTTGAGAGTCGCCTGAACCCCATCCATTGACACCCGTGGGACACCGATCACACTGTAGCTGCCACCCAGTACCATCCGTGTTGTGCGACAAGCGACGGTGTTGACAAGCCTTCCAGAAGAGCACGTGTTCATTCGTAAAGCTTGGCGCGCGAACGAGAAGAATGCGACATGCAATCTGTTTCGCAAAAGCAAGAGAGCGCCCGAGTTGTCTCAATCTGGAACAGTGCCAGGAGCCGCCGTTCATTACTCGCGGCTGGGAAAGGCACCTTGATGAGACATTGGTCAGTCATGCTGCACAGGGAACAGCGATCGAACACACCAGCATGTCCCTGCTCGCCTTCCGCTGCTTGGTACTGTGTGATGAATATGCCGCTGGCGTCGAAACTGCAAGCTCTGGCCGGTCCAGCTACCTCAGCTGAAGCAGGAAACGAGGGAGGACATCATTCGTAAGCTGTTACGCGGATGGAAAGATTGTTCTTGCGCTGGCTGATTGATGACTACGCTCGTGTGTATCGGTGAATGATAGCGTTCTGTCCCGTGTGAGAGTGATGGAAGTGCGCAGTGGTTGAGAGTGGTCTCGCTGCAAGACGCCGAGAGGCTCATGCATTGATGCGTGTCAAGCACTGATGCCAGACACCGTCAGTTGAGCGAAAGCTGACGACGGAGCATTGTGCGCCCTGTGCACTTGAGTGTGAGGGCTCGAGCTAGGTGTAGCACGACCTATTCTTCGTTTCGCAATCACGGCCAACCCCTCCATCGCTGCATTGAATCCATCAGTCGGCAGGAAAGAGGATGCCTGCCATCATCCCTGCTGGTCAAGCTATCGCTCGCCCGATGCGTGGGCACTGATCCTGGACCCAAAGAAAGGCGGCCAGAGGGAGTGCACTAGTTTCAGCACAGAGAGCGGGTTCAGCGTGGTTCTCGGGGAGATGCATTTGACAGCCGAAGGGAGTAGAGCAATCTTCATGGCTTTGGCTGTTCGTCATACGTGGTGCCCCAGCATTGGAGCAAGATGCGGGCATCCTTCTTCATCGAATTCTTTCACTGAGATCTCCGGGACTGGGCCAGTCTTGCTGAGTGCCCAGTTCGCCGCAGTCTTGAGGTCGGGAGCTGATTCGGACACCCAGGCAATAAGGAGGAAGTCTGTAACAAGACGATGAGACAGACACATTTCATACGTAGCAACCAAATGTCACCCAAAGTAGCGAGGCATAAAGTGACGGCAGACGCCAGCTTTAGAGGTGTTCGTACTTGTGCAGGTCAGGATCGTCGGTCCGCGAAAAGTCTTGCATCCAATCATTTAGCAACGAGGCCATTTAGACGGACTTCCGGAACATATGCCGCACTGCGGTCAAAAGAGTAAGCCGTCCTTATCGTTTTCACCCTGCGCAATCTGTCAAGTGATCGTGCTTAGGAGCTGGTAACGGATATTAGTTGCACGCGAACCTTCAGAAAACGCATCCACAGCATCGACGGTTATGAGACTGACAGTCCCGTCCGATCCATGGCCGCGCAGTCAGGATTCTGCTCACTGCCCCGCCAGGGGCTATTCCGGCGTGAGAGCATCGACTGTGTGAGAGTGATTAGTTTGGCGATTTGGCGGTAGGGTCGATCCCTGCCAACGTACCCTTTCCATCAGGGCGTCTGAAACAGCAAGGCGTGCATGAGGTACAGCTTTGGTACATCTATTGCTTGTGAGATGAAATCCGATACATTCACAAGGGAATGCTGCGGCTCACCAGCGTCACATAGCCTTGCTGCGCACACAAGCCCAGACAAGATTGAGACCCCCAGTGTGCTCGGAACCGGCAATCTCCAGTGCGTTGGGTTCGTGATCCTCCGTGCTCCGAGACTACGAATCTGACAGATCCACTTGCATAGCTTCTCCACGCAGCAACACCTCGCGCCAATTCCACCGCCTCACATAGAAAGACAACCCTCGGCATCCACTCGCGCGCGCAAGGCAATTGATTCAAGACGGAAGTTGCAGTCACACGGATACGAGCGGGGCAATGCTCTCGTGGACAGGTGGAACGACTGAGGCGGGCCCAGCGCGAAAAGAATGATCCTAGCGTTGTGGGTGTGTTCTCATGAGACAAGGACATAGATTCGGGCGATCGACGGGGTCTGTAACCGCGCCCCCGGAGTTTTTATCCGGTCTTGCTGGGACGAAGATTTCATAAGTAGAGGTTGTGGCTTGAACGAGGGCCGTCTGTGACAGCATCTCTGTGACATGTTAATGAGGACCTAGGCATATAGGCCACGATGTCCGATCCGAAACTGCCCAATTTCGGCGGTTCCGTACCTGCCTTTTTGGGCCCAAAGCGTCCGAAAACGGATCGGGTTGGGCAATTTTGGGCTCGTTCAGTCAGCATAATGGATCGGACCTCTTGCGCATGGACCTTCGTCGGCAGGGCGGATCGGACATCTGAAGCAGACGTTTCCGTACAAGTACCTACATTAGAGGCACCATTCCGTCCGCACATGGATCGGACATTAGTATGTAGTAATGAGAGTACTGGGAAGCTGTAAGACAATATGTACTTGCTAGGAAGGTATGCTGTAAGTAAATCTACGAGAAATGACCGTGTTCGAGCTGCGAGGCATATTAAAGGCAAGTAAGGTACAGGTATGGGGCGGGATAAGTATTATAGACATTCAATTGGCGGCCTCAGCTTCCTCATCCACCACCACAAAATCATCGATACCATCGTCTTCCGGTTCGGAACGATCATCTTCGGTGGATGGCAGAGTTGTCGAAGTCAGAAGGGGTGGCAATATTGTTGCGGGTGGTTCCGCGCCTCCTGAGCACTTGGCTGACACAAGAGCGTTGACGGCTGAGTTCACAGCGGGTGTCACTTCGGAGAGCACTTGCATGACCATTAACGAGTCCGCGCACAAGGTGACCAGCTTGTGGGGATGACCGCCAACGGTGGTAACGTCCTGTTGACTGATCCCCGAAAACGATGCGAGAGAGTACAAGATGTGGGTGCGAGGAATCTGCAGGATGGTGGGACATGACAGCTTTTTACACGCGATGGAGGAGAAGATGTTCCCAGCGAGAGAAGTGTAAAGCCACGCATATACGTATGATGGCGTTCCGACGCTGTAGGCAGCTGGGATCCACTCATGTGTCGAAGTCCTTGTATACATGGTTGCCACTATCGAGTGATCATGAGAATGCAGTTATAACGGTTGCGATTTCTCGAGCTTACCTTCGCACAAGACAACCTGCCGTGTCGCAGGATGCAACACAATCATGAAGTCACTTGGCTTGATGGGGTTGATCTCGGTGACATTCGCGCAAAACATGTTCTCCCGTAATGCGATGAGGCGGTAGCGATGGAACACATCTGCCCGCAATTTCACGAAGTTCTATTATGTATGGGTCAGTGCCCAAGTCATAAGTAAAAAAAGGATCAGACTTACAGCAGAAGCGACTTTGATGACGGTGGCCTTGTTCTCCTCGCGCTTCGAGGTTGAGCCGTAGGAACCCGCGTGTCGGATGTGTCGATTGACCCCGCTTGTTTTTCCAGCCACGCTAATCTTGGGGAGGAGCTGCGCCAATCGTTGCTTCAAGGTATCGCGAAGCGAGGGCTCGTCGCTCATGGGGGATGCGATCTTGCTTTGCTTCACCAATACTGACGAAACTCCCAGACCCCGTTGTCGAACGGCCTTGGCTGCGAACTTTGTCTGATGCTCTCGGCGCTGAGATACAAGAACTGTGAAATTCAGAGCATTGTTGACTACCAGCTCAAGGGTGGAAACGGCGAACAGACGTTGCTGTTGCACGGATCAGACCACCAGCGCATTCAAAGATTGAATTCTTACCTTGACAGTTTCAGATGTTTGGCTCAATTGCGTAGCAATATCGGAACGGATGGCTTGCACATCAACGTTGTTGGAGTCAGGTAAGGCCGTGCTGCGGATGGTAAGCGACTGAGCCAACCAAGAACTTGACGCGCTTACATCTTTGCAGATTCGTCCACGGCCTGTGCTGCTACAGCCATCTCACAAGACTCGATCAACTCCTGATCTCTGAACGAGCATCGCGCAAGAGCACCCTCTGTCAAGTTCATGAGGTCATAGATTGTATTCGGTGCTCGCGGTCTTGGAATCCGTGGAAGGCGAACAGTTGTTGGCTCAGGGGGATGATATGACTTGAGCATGGCGGTAGCGTCAATACCGAGTAACTTCATCAACTGTGAAGTCTCGTCGAACGCTGACAGAGAGGCTTGCCGTATCTCTGCGTCCGTCGGAAAGATCATCAAGACAGGGAGATTGATGTCGTCAGTCTGGAAGTAAGTGTGCTGATACCCTGCTGCTGTCTGAGCTGCCTGTTCTTCGGCGGAAAGATTACCGAAGGCACCCCTCATCAAGACACGGAGTTTTCGTTCCAGATTCAACATGTCGTAGAATGTGAAATCCGCTTTGATGGTGCGTAGCATGCCAAAAGCATGCTCGCAGACTTCCGTGGAATGAAGCCATGGTAGGAAGGGATAGGTAGGGAAGTAACGCCGATGGACCAGGATGAGGGAAATGAGGCTGTCGCACAGTGTCATGAAGATGTCAAAGGACTCGCGTGAGATGAAATGAGTGTTGACGTTATAATCGGGATGCAGTTCGACATGGGACCTCCAAGCCATCAGAAAGAAGCGGGCACGCAACACCATCTTGACACGTTCGAGATGTGGAATGTGTCGATTCTGCCAGGCATCTACCAACTCTCCGAGAACAAAGAGATACACTGTCAGCCCGGTGAAGTGCTTCGGACAGTGCTTGAGAACAAAGGCGATTGTCTCTGCCGAAAACACTCGGGCAGCTGCACGATCATCCTGCTTGTCTGCTCGCTCAACGTCTCGTGCAAAAAATGGGCCCAGAGGATTGAGTGCAATGTCTCGCAGGTACGCGAATAGAATCAGGAAGAACCCGAGTTCTGGAGCTCTTGCGCCTGTTTGAACCTGATTCCGTGCTGTCTTGCCTCCGTGCTTGGAGTCTTGCACCATGACACCGGGATGTTTGCCGTAGAAAAGAGGAATGCACAGTTCGATGTTACAACCCCGATTCGGATTTGGAACGCAATACACATCGTAGGTTGTTGCGGTCTCGGCAATGGTGCGTTGCACGGAACGCTCGACTTCGGCCCCATCGGAAGACATCGAGATCGGGTGAATGTTATGGGAATGAAGGAGGTTGAGGAGTTCAAGGTGCATTTGTGCCAGCTCTGGTGCTGTCTCGGAAGATCCGCGGGCAATAGCGGCAATCAGGATGGGAGGGACCTTGGGAAGCGGAATCGAGAGCATGTAGATGCGAAGCTTAGAGGGAAAGTATCAACACACAACATATTTCATTGAGAATCTCATTTACCTTGTCCGCCTTGTTCAACTTGGCCTTCTCGAAGAGCGCATCCAAGTCATCACCTTTCTTCACAAGAATCGCACCATCGGCACCACCAAGTATGTAGCATTCATCTTTCGAACTCGAATGGACCTCGATAGAAGGCTGCAGTGATGTATCGTCCCATGAAAGGGCAACAGGCCCTTCATACTCGAATTCATCAAGGACGTTGCGAGCATTTGCCACATTGAACTCAGATATGTCGGGCTCAAAACGGGGCATCTTCGAACGTCGCTGCCTGCATCTAAACATCAGAGGGCTGTGTCATCTGAGACAGATTGACGTACCGTTGGGTTCGGAGACCTGGGCCACCAAATTGTTTGCAAAACGTCTCATATGCCTTGGGAGCTGTTGAGGCAAGGACGTCACAGAACTGGCTGAATTCATGGCTGTACTTCATGTTCTTCATACTCTTGCCCAGATTCATGCGGTCTTGCTTGGTAACAAGTGCTTGCACCATGCCCGTCAATACATCAGACTTGTAATTGCCACTGGCACAGCCGAGCGCAAACTTGAGCCATGGCGATTGACCGTCGTCCTAGAACACAATGAGTTCGGACAAAACAGAAAAGAACAATGGTAAACACACCAGCTCAACCAACTCCCGCAATCCAACATGCTTCAGGTACAATGTCCCGAGCTCCTTGTCTCGATAGATGCCAGGCACAAACTTCATCCTCCTTTCGTCGGGCACAGCACGGCGGATGGCGACCTGGAATGTGTGCAATCGCAAAAGGGCTCAGCAGGGCTCGCATGGCTTGGGATCGATGTTCAAGTTGGTCTCCACATTTTGCATGCAGTTCGTAGCGGAAACGATGTGCAAACCGTGTGAGATGTGCCACTTTTGCAGATTGGCTTCCCTCTTGAGAACATAATCCTTCTGCTTGATGGAGAGATCCTTCCACCGCAGGCCTTGTCCCGGAAAGAGGCCATCAATGATACGAGCTCGTGATGGGGCGCCGCCGCCGGTGACCGCGGTACGTAGGATATATCTGCCGACATCCGGGAAGGCTTTGGCACTTAGGCACGGGCAAGGAAGTGTAACGAGAGGAGCCGGAGAAGGGATAGGTTGCGTCTCTGAGCGCGAGATGATCCGAAAACCCATGGTAAACAACGACCTGGTCTGGAGGCCTGATTGACGAGCCTTCTTGCATTTGGCAGTCTTTCGATGCTCCCTCCAGCGCACCAAATCATAAAGTGTGCGCATCTCAAGCCAACTGGCACAATTGGAGCACCGGACCCGCCGCGGATTGGCGTCTGAGAACTCCGCTCGAGGATTGTCCTTCAAAACGGATTTTTGGAAACGATCAAGACTTGCGGCGTCAGGACTGAACTCGGCGTCTTTGGCAGAAGCATTCAGACTCTTCTGCTTTGCCCAAGACGACCCTTCCTTTGGTCCATGTGCCAATGCTTCGTGGCGGCGTTTTAGGCGACGGCGCCGCTCAGAATGAACTTGGAACTCGTTTGAATCGGATTGGGGGCCTGAGTCTGTATCCGAATCCCTCTCCGAATAGAAGTCCGCTTCTGACAAACGGCGACGAAGGGGTAGGTTGAATCGTTTCTAGTGGAGATATGTGGTCGGTGGAAGGAGGGGGATCAAAAATGGCAGCGCCATGCTCTAGGAGTTCGGAGGTAGAAGACACATCCATATCGAATTCGGAGCCGGAAGTAAAGCCCAGAGAGTCGAAGTCCGATGGTTCAGGTGTGGTCGCATCGGATCTGGCACCAGTTGTGACGATTTCCTGGAAAGAGAGTAAATATCAGTACCAGCAGTACCAAAGATTGGCAATACTCACCCAGTCACTATCTCTGTTGTTGCTGAGTGGATTCTCGTTCTTGTCGTTGTTGTTTACTCGATCTTCATCACCAGCCAATCCTCCATCCTCAAAAGTCCACCTCAGTTACCACCGCCATCACGCGGTTCTCCCCCCGCGGGGTACCTACTGGGTACCCTCAGACGTCTTGCTGAGGGTACCCAGTAGGTACCCCCTGGCGGGGGGTGGGGGGGCCATTTAGTCGATTTAGTAGCGGGGGCATATGCGGGGGTCAGGAGGAGGGGGGGTGTATGTAGCATGTGACTTGTCCATAAGAGCGGGTAGCTGGGCGGGAAAAAAAAATCCAATCACATGACGCGCTGCATGGGCGGGATGGCGGGATAAAAAAATCACGTGATGCGCTGCACCAAATATTACCAAAATGCTGGCAGGGGTTGGCGGCGTCATTGGCGGGGTCACTACCACCCCCCCGCACACCATGGCGGGCAGTGGGCGCATTATCACGTGACTTTTTGGGCGCCTTTTTTGCAGCATTTGGCATGATTTTGGAAATGCTGCTTGATACATTGCATGCTGTGGCAGACAATGGGCGCAAAATCACGTGATTTTCCGCCAAAAAAATGGAAGACTCCCCAAATCATCCCAGTATAATTTCCATAGGTAAATAGGCTAGTTAAACATGAACTTGAGCTTAGAAAAACCAAAATGCACCCTGCACAATGGGATTGGTGACACACTTGATCCCATCATTTGGCAGGGCCTGCCGCAGGGGCTGCCGCGGGGGGTGCCGCGGGGGGTGCCGCGGGGGGTGCCGCAGGGGGTGCCGCGGGGGGTGATGCGGGGGCTGCCCCAGGGTTGGTCTGTTATGATCCATTTTTGTTCATTGAAGATCTTGTAGAGGTGAGCAGGGCAACAGGCCAACTGGGAATTTATAGGAAGGCATTGAAATTGATGCAGGGGTCAGATGCGGGGCCCACTGCAAGGTCTACTGCAGGGGCAGGGGTGCATTATATCAAATTTCGATGTATCTATTCTGGCCATGGCCATAGAATGTCACATAATTATCCTTCAATTTGGCAGGGGTTTCTTGGTATGGTCTGCAGCTAAAGATATTTGATTCCCTTGTGCTTTAGCAGAGCCTGGGATATTGAAAACATGCAATAGCACCTGTATAATCTGTCTATGTAGGGTCAAATACAAGTTATGATTTGTTCATGTGTTGACCAGCAGGGTGGGTAGGTTGGCTGCACTGGGTCCACTGTCATCTCATTGATTTTTTGGTGCGCTCATTCTACATACATGGCTATTAGTCAATTGTTCACACTGTTAGCACAGTGTAATCTTACCCTGCGGCACATTGTACCACATGTCAAGTACACATTGAATGTCTCACTTCCTGACTGGGACTCATTGAAAATCAGAAGTTCTGTGATGCTTTGCAAATGATTTTCTCAAGCTGCAACATGAACAGATGGAACATAGCGGATTTGACATGCCCTCAATTCATTCCTGGGTCGTATATAAGAGGATGAACTAACTCACTAATAAGTTGTCTCACAATAGCCAGAGATTGAGCATGAATTCAGATTTCATATACAAAATTCTTTCCACTTACTGTAGCGTATCACCTCGTGGGCCAAACCAGGAAGTGGGCCATGCACTAAGTTAGTAATGATGAAGGCTAAATTTACTTGATTTGTCTATGGTCACTCCGTCTACTATGTCCTGGGAGTGTATGTAACAAATATCTAGTTGATAGCTCATGGCAGCGTCGTGCCAAGCAATGACATGATGGGGGTTCTCATACCTGTCATGTCAGATTCTTAATTTCCCATGACACAGTATCCGTCACGCGGGGCCGGAGCAGACCGGGCTCTCACAAACCGCCCAGTGTTTGTTACCGTTCGACGCGTCCGACCTTCGGCTACACCATGGGACTGGATCCAGACCATCATCACCACTGATATTCTTGTTATCACGGACGATTTGGGACCGGCACCAGGAAATGAGGCTGGGAAGATGGAGAACGAGCTAGCGCACTGCAAGACAGGTGGGATTTTCTCAGGCTGGAGCTTGGTGGGCAGGAAAGAGGTTGGTTCTGGCACTCAGTCGGTGCGTGTGTTTGAATTTTAGGCAATTTATTGCGTCCTCAAGCCCTGCTGGAGCACGAGACCATCAATTTCGAGAGAACGGCAAATCCAAATACCATGTTCTTCAGTCCACTACCTCAACGGTCCGGGATCGACTTTTCGAGGTACCTTAGACTCTTCTACGCCCCCCTACGCCCACTCAATCTGTCATTGTGACCAGCTCGTCATGCCGCACTGGCGGACATTGTGCTCCTTTGGACCATCTCGGGGAGTCCATACAATTGTACACCATCTCATTCGACGATAGGCTGGACCCTTCTGTAGTGCAAATAGATTGTATTCACACACCCTTTGCATCTTAGACCTCCGGTTCATGCCGGTAGCTTGTATTTAAGGTCTCTCTCTCTCCAAGTATTCTATTAGTTCTCCCCCAGCCTTGGACAATCTCAGGGGTGCTTCGAGCATATCTTTCACTCAGTCACTATCTCTACATCCCTACCATGCGTCGTTCGGCCCGCCTTGCCAAATCCGGGTCGGTTACACCTACTGTTGATGGATCTGGGACCACTCACTCGGGTGGTGATGCTTCCACTACTGTCAGCACTGCTTCTGAGTCTTCCGACCCGGATGGTTCCTTGGGCAGTGATCCGGATGATCTTGCTGAGCTCGAAGACAACGAAAATAATTTGCTGGACCTGGCCGACTTTGCTGGTGTCCCTCTTGATGAGCTAGATATCGAAACTCGCTATGAACTTGCAGTTGCTGCAGTCCGGAACGGTGCTCGCCAGCGCCAGGCTGCTGCCCAATATGCTGTTGTACGTACTACGCTGCAGCGCCGCTTGTTGGGGATTGGGAACTATCGTGCTGGTCATGCCACTCAGCAAGCACTGAGTCCGGCACAAGAGAAAATACTGGTGGAGTGGATCAAGGTTTGTAAATACCTGTCTACCCATGGCATATCAGCTGGCTGACAATTAGTAGATCAAAGGGAAACAAGGTGTTCCGATGTCTCTCCCAACTGTTGCCAACGCTGGCTCAGTCATCATTGATCGTCCACTTGGGAAGACTTGGGCACAGCGTTTCAAGGTGTGTAGACATTGGTCTTTATGTCTCAATTTTATTGATCTTTAGATAGGCCCGTCACAGTGATCAACTGAAAGTTGTGTGGACACAGAAGCTGGAAAGCTGCCGTGCTCGGCAGTTGAATCCAAACACAGTCAATCCATACTTTGATATGCTTGAAGAGACTATTCACACATACAGTATCAAGTGCAGCAACATCTACAACATGGATGAGAAGGGGATTCAACTTGGAGACAGTGGCCGCACAAAAGTTCTTGCAGATAGAGATCAGAAACAAGTTCGAAAAATTTCAGACGGAGACCGAGAGTTGGTTACGGTCCTTGAGTCTGTGTGTGCAGATGGAACAGCACTAGCACCGACTGTAATATTTAAAGGTGTTCGCCGGGATCTGCGGTGGGGCGAGAACAACCCCTCAAACGCAAGGTGAGTGCTTCAGCCCTTCATTTCAAAGTCTACTTTACTCACTCTACTCTAAAATGTAGTATCTCTCTTTCCCCTCGTGGCTGGACCGATCAATACCTTGGAGCAATATGGATGGAGAAAGAGTTTGAACCTCAGACAGCTCTCAAGCTTGAAGACCCCAGTGACTACCGATTGCTTATTTTGGATGGTCACAATAGCCACTGCACATATCGCTTTCTGAGGTATGGACCTGTTACCAATTCTGTATCATGAACATTTTTAATGACTTCTCTTTCCTTCAGTTTTGCAAAAGATCACCGAATTATTGTCCTATGCCTGCCTCCCCACACAACACACGCCCTTCAGCCTTGTGATGTTGGCGTGTTCAAGCCACTTTCGACATTTTGGAAAAAAGAAGTTGAGAAGGTGTGTGTGTAAAAGTATGATTGAGCCAGTGTAGCTTACCCTGTGGCTCAGGTTACTCATGCCTATGGCACTATAAACAAATATAATCTCCTTGCACACTACCACAATGCTCGCACACAAGCATTCAAGCCCACAACCATCATGAACTCTTTCCGCAAGACAGGTATCTGGCCTGTTAATCGTCATGCAATTGACGCCGACGAGTTTGAGACCGCGAAACACTACACCAATCAGGCCACCCTTCCCACCATCACACCCGCAGACGGAAACATTTCTAACAATGTGCAATCCTCAGCTTCTGGCCCAACAGAATCATTTCCTAGTGTACAAAGTGGTCAACAATCACGGGCCCCTACATCCAACTTGACTGGCTTGTCCACGTCTCAGTCCCAGCAGACGATTACCGAATCTAACATCTCCTTGGAAGCTGCCGCCATTTCCGTTGCAGAGGTTGATCCATTGATCCCTCCTTCCATCTCAGCCCCCTCGACACCGTCTCATAACAAGAGACCTCATCCCACAGACGGATTGATTGCAGCCGCCTTTCGGCTCGTTGCACCTTCTCCGCGGAAGGGTCCACAGTCCAGAAAAGCACTACGTGCCGAGAACACCAATCTTCGTGACGTTCTGGGTGGTGCTGATGTCGAGATCGAGAAACTCCAGACCCAGTTGAAGCTTGCTGCCATCGAAAATGCCGAATTGCGCCAAGCCCTGTGTGCAAAGAAATCAAAGGGAAATCGAAATCTGATCGATGGGATGGCACGAAACCTTACTGCGTCAGAAAACATGGAGGAACTGGGTGCCAGAGAGCATCGTATCATCTACACAGCCCTGCACAAAGATATCGTGCCGCTCCTGGAAGAGATCTCGAACTGGATGATAGCGAGAGGACGGGTAATCGATTCGGACACAGTGGGCTCGAATGGCCCGGCCAGCGCTCTAGAACAGGAGTCAGACGGACACTGGTTGTACAATGTATTCCCGCCTGTTAGCCTCCTCAGCCGTGGCTATGTGCCGAAACGAAGACGTGGACGGCCTGCTGGTCGTGGTACTGGCCGTGGGGTGCGTGGTCGTGGCGGAGGGAGTAGAGCTGACTCAGATCGTGGAAGAGGAGATGGTCGTGGTCGTGCGCGTGGTCGTGCGCGTGGTCGTGGCCATGGTCGTGCGCGCGGTGGCAGTCGTGCACGTGCACATGGTCGTGGTCGTGGTCGTGGTCTTGCGCGTGGTCATGGTCAAGACCAGGTGGACTCAGACAGTGAGATGATAGACATCGACCTCGAGTTTGGAGATGAGGAATCCGAAACAGAGCGTAGTGGCGACTCGAGTGGACCGGACACCACATCAGGCACAGAAGAGCTTTCATCGACCTCTACGGGCAGGGATGCTGCTCAGAGCAGCGAGGATGAATCGAGCATGGACGAAGGTGGTGATCAGGTAGCGGAAGAGATCGAGATTGTTGCCATCAACGGGCATCGATGGGTTTCGGGCGACCTTGAGTTCATGGTCATCTGGGCTGACGATGATGTGACCTGGGAACCGCTCGAAACTGTGAACGACTGCGAGAAATTAGAGGATTATCTTGATGCACGCGGGAAAACTGATCCCCTTCAGCTTGGAAAGCGGCGATATGTTCTTGATAAAGCTTTCCAGGCTTCAAATCCCTAATTAACTATCTCTCCACTATTTAATGTGTAAAAGAGCAATTACAGACACTTTTCGGTGCAGGGAGTCCTTGAAAATTGCTCGAGATCGTAAATGGCCCGCATCACGGTATTTTCCCCATTAGGACTTGCATCACGGGGATATTCACTGAGCTCGACACACCTCAAAAAAAAATAATCCAACACTATAGGCTCTCAGACATGAACCTTGCCCGTGAACTAAACGGGAAATGCAATGCAATATGTGTTGTGGATAAATGTAGTAAGATCAAAACCCTAAGGTGGCCTGATTCCCCATATCATACAGTAGAGCTTGGATACTTGCAAGACAAACTGCAGAAACATACATGATTGCTTTTGCTACTGGGACTGTATACGTTCTTGCCATAACTCACTGCCTGCAACTCTACCTGCACCCCCACTGGCACCCCTGCAGGCACCCCCCGCCAAACTGGCACCCCCCACTGCACCCCCGCATGCACCCCCGCCAGGCTGACACCCCCTGCCACACCCCCCGCTGCACCGGTGCCTTGCCCCTGCCATCTTCTCATATGTAAGATTACATAATCTGACAGCTCGGAACACATCAAGTCACCAGCCAATCAGAACCTGTATAAACGTCGTACCTAAGTGTTTCCTGCTCTTCTGACACTGTTTCTACAGTTATGCAGCTGAAAACCATCGGAATAAGGTCTCCCTATGCTGTTCTTGTTGAATATGTAGGTATTTCATATCATTTGTCCATCCAAAATTCGAAACATGAAAACAGTTCACAGTTGCTCAAGGTTCCTACATAGATAATGGTTCAACATAGTTCACTTTGGGTATTGCAAAAAATATATTTTCTACAAATGAACAACTCAATACAGCTGAATGATATACCCCTTGGCAGTGTCTGAAACAAATTCTGAGAGCCCTGGACCCTGGAACCATTCAAAAACTTGAAATGGGTCCGAAAAATAGGGTCTTGATAAACATGAGATAGGGGCCAGTTTGAAGAGATGTAAGCCACTGGTCATGTTTAATGTGGTATTTGACAATGTTTCGGTGCCCTGCCCCTCACCAAATGGCCTCCTTTCCCACCAAAAAGTGCACATACACACTCAAGCTTATAAAATCAATTGTCGGCCAGAAACAAGAGCAGGCAAGTTGTGTCACTGGAATTGGGTAAAGGTAACCTGGAAGTCACTCGGGTTGCAGTACAGAAGCTTTGGAAAGTGATCCTGTAGTTGATCCACATTGGGTAGGCTGGCAGAGGCTTGGGCACCCCCCGCGGCACCCCCCGCAGCAGCCCCCGCGGCAGCCCCCACCATCAACCCTGCCCCAGCCCCTGCAAGGATTGGATGGACAAAAGTGCTGCCTAATCAATTGTTAGTGTTCACAGTATTATCACATCCATTAAAGTGTCTAAATGGTGTGTAGACAAGGAATATGAAATCCATCAATCAACAATCCTAACACCTGTATCAGATATCCTGAAAATGGAGAGGAAGATTTGGGAGCAGACAGACTATTGGAAGCAAACAGACAGGGACAAGGAGCAGTAGCTATTCCTGGCGATCAATTTGGCTGCACATGGAAAACTCCCTTGGGGGATTTGCCAAACAAATCAAGTTGCGCATTTTTCAAACATTAAATTCGACCTAATAGCTTGAGCAGACCATGCCCAAATGTACCAAGTTATAACTTGTATTTGACCCTACATAGACAGATTATACAGGTGCTATTGCATGTTTTCAATATCCCAGGCTCTGCTAAAGCACAAGGGAATCAAATATCTTTAGCTGCAGACCATACCAAGAAACCCCTGCCAAATTGAAGGATAATTATGTGACATTCTATGGCCATGGCCAGAATAGATACATCGAAATTTGATATAATGCACCCCTGCCCCTGCAGTAGACCTTGCAGTGGGCCCCGCATCTGACCCCTGCATCAATTTCAATGTCTTCCTATAAATTCCCAGTTGGCCTGTTGCCCTGCTCACCTCTACAAGATCTTCAATGAACAAAAATGGATCATAACAGACCAACCCTGGGGCAGCCCCCGCATCACCCCCCGCGGCACCCCCTGCGGCACCCCCCGCGGCACCCCCCGCGGCACCCCCCGCGGCAGCCCCTGCGGCAGGCCCTGCCAAATGATGGGATCAAGTGTGTCACCAATCCCATTGTGCAGGGTGCATTTTGGTTTTTCTAAGCTCAAGTTCATGTTTAACTAGCCTATTTACCTATGGAAATTATACTGGGATGATTTGGGGAGTCTTCCATTTTTTTGGCGGAAAATCACGTGATTTTGCGCCCATTGTCTGCCACAGCATGCAATGTATCAAGCAGCATTTCCAAAATCATGCCAAATGCTGCAAAAAAGGCGCCCAAAAAGTCACGTGATAATGCGCCCACTGCCCGCCATGGTGTGCGGGGGGGTGGTAGTGACCCCGCCAATGACGCCGCCAACCCCTGCCAGCATTTTGGTAATATTTGGTGCAGCGCATCACGTGATTTTTTTATCCCGCCATCCCGCCCATGCAGCGCGTCATGTGATTGGATTTTTTTTTCCCGCCCAGCTACCCGCTCTTATGGACAAGTCACATGCTACATACACCCCCCCTCCTCCTGACCCCCGCATATGCCCCCGCTACTAAATCGACTAAATGGCCCCCCCACCCCCCGCCAGGGGGTACCTACTGGGTACCCTCAGCAAGACGTCTGAGGGTACCCAGTAGGTACCCCGCGGGGGGAGAACCGCGTGATGGCGGTGGTAACTGAGGTGCAAAAGTCTCTGTCAACCGCTCAAACCAACGCAAACGATGCAAATCCGCATCCTGCCATGTCCAAGTGTCATCTCCCAGAAGTGTATGGCGGAGGGTGCTCAGGACAACCACGCCACACGAATGTGTATCGTCTTGATGAGGAAAGTTGCGCGTGAAGAAGGATTGCACGACAGTAAACTCCGGGCCCGGACGCAGCAAACGCAGCCACCAGTGAATGACTCCGACCTCATCTGGGGTGCTGTCTTTGTTTCGAGAGCCTTGGTGAAGAGAGTCGCCTAGTTCAAGAGTTCGTGCATTGAGGTCAATACGGAGAAGTGTCCAATGATTTCCTGAAACGTGCAAAGGGAACCAAACAACATCAACCAATCCGTTCTCAATTTGACGATCCAAGAGTGAATGAGCGTGGTAGCCCGAACTGCTTGCACAAGCCCCAGCCAACGCTTGGACGAGGAGACAATTTGCAAATGCTACCCGACTGTCCACAGGAAGACAACGTCGTATGGATTCCACCCCTGCGTTAATCAAATCGTCATTTAGCCATCCGTCACCCAAAAGAAGCGCGAGATCTTGGGTGGTCAGATAGGCCTCTGAACCGAAACCTGGAACCGCGGAATCCCATGGTAAAGACTCGATGATATCCATACATGTCTCTGCGTTGTCTTGAGTTCGGGGATTGATCTGGCAGGATTGCACCCATTCGACAGCGCCTTGCCATTGGTTCCTTCGGTCCAGAAATGTATGAACATTAGACAGAACTTGGATAATCCACAATGGGTATGAGTGAGGAAGTGGCTCCATTTGGACCGACTGCATGCCCAAAAGCCATGCCGAGTTGATGGTCTGTCGCAGGTGGGGAAGACATGGCAGGGCTCGAATGAGCTGATCGAGGTGTAATTTGTCCAAGGAATGCGCAGTGGGGGCATCGGCAGAATACATGGCCTGCCTGGATCCTGAGCTCCGTCGAACATGAGTAGCTGATCGCAGGGCGCGAATGATGTTGGACTCCGGACTTGGCAACAAGCCAGTCATGATACCGCAGGGCATTCCCTGTGCCCGGTGACATGCGTCCTTGACCCAATCTGGCAGAATGGCCGACCAGACTTTCCCAGTTCCAATCCACAGATGCTTCTCAGACTCGAAGCGAGTGGCGCTATTGGCTTCATCATCCGAATCGATAGCCATGTCTCCCGGTGAATCTGCTCTCGAGATTTCTCCTGACGGTGCATGGTCATCTTGTTTATCTGTAGGCCCATCAAGAGACTCTCCGCCGCCGCCCCAAATGGCCTGAAATGGCTGGCGTTGGCCGGTTTGACTGGACAAAGCACAGTGATAGCGCTTCAGAGCGTGTCTACTGGAGAAAGTCCGTTCGACTTGAATTCGGGTAGAAGGCGTCGGATTTTGAGTTGTCGGAGGCGGAGACTCGAGAACGCACACCAGGTTTGAATAGGGAGGTCGTTCATCACCCTATGGCATGTATGAGGCACGGGACAGAATCAATGCACAAAGAAACACACAGTACCGCTCTCGACAATCTTGTCGAGTTCCTCAGAGTTGAGGGCCAAAATTTTATAGAGTCGGAGAGCCTCAGGGAGATTTCGCGTTCTGATGTAGGAAAAATGACCTCGAGGGTACCGCGAGCAGCGACCATGAACGATACGAAAGAGGGGAAGATGAATAGGGCAGAAGTAGATTGCTTCACAATCTGGTAAGAGATAGCTGTCTGACTCGACAGAACCACGTACCCAAAAGTGCGAGAAGCAGATACACTTCGGCCAGATAGATGACCAGAGCCAACACTGTTAAGGATATCGAGGAATTAGCCTCATTTGCCTGCACTTGGACAGCGAACACAGTAAAAGGATTGGCAAAAAGAGCAACCGTTGAGATAATGACCCCAGAGAAAGAAACCAGCAAGCGCTTCAAACGTTTTGCATGCAAAATGGACCGCTTGTTGGTGGAATACAAGGAATGGCGGTTGAGCCACGCAGGGTCTGCCGCAGTCTGAATTAGTCAGGGAACAGGTGCAGAGAAGCCATGTACCTTTTTTGCGCATCAGAAGGTAGTTCTGTTTTGTAGCAAGGAAAGAGAGTGGCGGAGAGAGGGTGAGAGAGAGGGAGGGAGTAACAGATACAAAAAAATGCCGAAGCCCATTATAATTTATTGCAAGCGAGCTTGGACTCGGGTTGTTTCGGAGCGAGGAGCAGGAGATAAGCGCGCTAAGCCAGCGATAGGAGGGCAGGAATATATTTGGCCTATTTCCAATTGCAGGAAGACCAAGTCCCGACTTTCTTACGAGCAGGGAACAGGAAATGCAAGAAGCTTGTGGCCAGAATGCGCGCCACAAGAGTTCTGATTAACTAGCCACTGGCTACAATGACACGAAGGAGAGGGTTGATAATTCCCTACACAAGCCAAGAGCTAGTGAATATAGCCGTCAAGATGGAGGCCTCGCTTGGGTTATCGGTGGCAAAAGTACAGTAACAAATCGGTCGAGCCAGCCATCACACGTGGGCGCCCAGCATCGACAACATCCGAGACGGCGTTGAGACTAGATTCGCAGTAACAGTAGTCCAATAGAGGATAGATTGGGCGGAAAGTACGGTAACATGGTGGCCAAGAGGGAGATGATGATTCGACGTTCGATCCGTCCGACTTCCGGATCGGACCTTGGGCGCGAGAGCCATCCCGTCAGGTACGCTGATTGGACATAGTGCCAAATTTTTCCCCGATTGTCCGCATTAGGATCGGACATGGAGGCCATTTTGGGATCATTTCCGTCCGCATCAGGATCGGACATCGTGGCCTATATGCCTAGGTCCTTGTTAATGCTGGAGTGACATGATGTCAACCACACGATTAAGTACCCTGACGACGACCCTACTGTCCTGCAAGTTCGAGACACGATTCATATATAATGGACACGCATACGCAGAAAGAACTAAGAGTAGATTCTAACTAAGCTTTTTTCATCTCTCTGAAGAATAGAATAAGAGAATATTGGAACACTTGGCATGTTGAGCAGCGTGATCGTACAGTTGAATATTTCGCCGGCAGTCTCTGTCTTTGGAACAAAATACCGGCGTAGTTCAGGAGGGGGAAACGAGAAGATGCAGCGATATCAAGCCTGATCTCTAGAGACCAATCGAACTGGAACCTCACCCAATGCAAAGGCTGTCCCAAACATGCTTGCGCCGGCCAGTATGCGTTCCATAGCACCCTCATGAGACTCCCCCGGGTTAATCACCGTCTCAATCCGCCAATCATGGAGCAGATGCGCCAAAAACACGACGGCCTCGGTTTGCGCAAACCGCCGGCCGACACAGCTCCGCGGCCCGGCGCCGAACATGATCACATCCGTGTCGTTGACCGAGGACCAGCGTTCAGGGTTGTATTTTTCCGGAGAAGGAAAGTCATGTGGATTGTGACCTGAAATGAATCAGATACCGGGGCCGGAAACGAGCTGGAACGCAAGTCTGCTTACAGATGGCCATGATGTCCAACATGATTCGGGAGCCCTTCTGGATGACGATGTCGCGCTGAACCGGACGTTCGCTGCGGAGCACGATATCGTTGGGAACGTCTCTGGTCAGATTGATCGTGGCCGCTATGCAGGTATAGTCAGCATCGAAACACGAGAGTGATAGCCAAATATAAACTCAACGAATGAGACGATGAGCCTCGTTCATGCAGGCCAGGACGTATTTGAGGTCTTGTATCTCGTTGAGGTTCTGTTCGACTTGCTATCAATATGCCACCGACATGCGAGAGAAAATGATCGGACCAGATTATCGGGCGAGGAGACGTTCTGCAGAATCTCCTGATAGGCAGTCTCTTGAATGTCCGGGTGCAATCCAAGCATGACGATCGTGGACATCAACGCGCTAGCTGTAGTTTCTGTCAATCGATTTAGTGAAGTTTCACACGCTCATAAGATGTCAGGCACCCACCGTTGCCCGCGAATAGTAGCGAAAGCATATTCGCAGTGACCTCGGGAGGATCCAGCGAATATTTTGCGTCGCTTTCCAGAGTGGATACCAGCTTGGTGAATATGTCCGCCACGTCATCTACTCCCGCAGCCTTATCTATCGAATATTCCGTCTGCCGCTGTGCAGCCAACTCATTGGAAAGGCTGATGACGGTCGTCCACGATTCGTTGATGTCCTTGAGCCTAGAGGCAGTACGACAGGTTAGACGGACGGCTGAGGCAGTCAGGATCGAGCGCACGTTTTGAAAGGCAGCTTCCAGAGCCATTTCGGAGAGATAAGGCGGACGATGAGGGTCTTTGAGGCCAATGACAGGGCTCGATCGAAAATGGAGGCACTGTTCGAGGAGCCGCTGCGCTGCTTCCAGTCCACTTCAATACCGAAACCACTACGACATATCATGACCAGGGTAAACTGAATTTTTTTAGCACATTAAAACGGCCGATAAGTTGTTCGCGAATGCTAACCCTCAGCAGCAGAGCATGCAAGTTTGTGATGGTCTGACCCGAGTGAAACTCTTTCTTCATGTCCGAATACACCGAAGAAGATTCGTTAACGATAGAGGTAAATCTCACGAAAAAATCAGCGACGGAGACAAAGCGAACCGATGAAAACATTAGATACATGTTCTGAGTAAACGCAGGCGCGACGATGCGCCTGTGCCTCCTCCAATCATCTCCGTTCGCAGACGCGATGCTGCTGCCCCAGACGCTGTGCGAAGGATGAGTACGGACTCTACTGAAGAAGCACAGGACGCACCCATCAGTGGTAAAATCAGCCGGACGCTCCAGGCCATTCTTGATCTCGTTCACCCAAAGCTGGCGCGCGACGTTTGTCGAAGCTGCGATGTACATCGGATTCCCGACAACCAGCGGTATAAGCGTGGTAAGATCGTTTTGGTGGTTGAAATGAGCTAAATAAAAAACATGGTCGATCATCAGATCCCACGCGTGGCACTGAACGAGCGCACTGACCAGTTTTTCGCTGTATCCACGGCCACATGAAACCCATGCTCCATGAATTCGCAGGAAGAGTGTTTCCGGGAAGACTGTGCGGATCGAGGAGAGGACGGTAGCCTTTCAGGTGTCCATGCGTCTGTTGAACTCGGTTGAGAATGTGCGGGGTGCATACTGTAGCAGATAAGCAGGACGAAGGACATACCCTAAAGAGGCGAAAGAGGCGCAGGATGCGGTAGGCAACGACCAAGGCACCTAAACAAAGGGGAACAGAAACCATTCTGGCAGAGACGCGTTGTGGTACGATGTAAGTACGAATGCTGTGAGCATGTCATACGTGCGAGGGAACAGAGGACACAGCCCCGGAAGGAAGCTAGAAATCCGGCATGGCATCTCGGCATGTTGAAATATGGGATCCGATCATTAAATGAGGGAATGATCATCGAAGAAAATGGGTTCTTGATTGAAGTAAGACCGGGAATGAATCAGTTTTTTGAACCTTAATGGTCGGACTAGGTTGCCATGGATGAAAATAGTGGTGATTGCTCGAGCACAGTCATAATAAATAATACACGCCTCATCTATCACAGAAGTGTCAAACCATTGACTCCAACTCTAACATTCCAACCGATCTCACTAATCAGTGCGCACGGTCAAGTTGACGACTATATCGCGTGAGAAATCTGCAATCACGTTTCCGCTCCCGGGCGCCAGTTCCGGTACCTTCTCCGCAGACGAGAACTCGAAGCTTTGGAGAAACGCAATCGCCCAGACCTTCATGACGTGATGGGCAAAGATGCGGCCCTTGCACTTGTATTGGTCGTTAGACCAAGCTTCTCAGATGATCGGATACCGGGGCGCTTACCATGTGAGCCCCTGATCCCCAAGACATAATCTTCGCGGTTGGTGCCGTGTCAGTTTTCTCGACGAAGCGATCGGCCTTGAACTTCCCCGCGTCTGGATAGACATCGTCGTCGAAATGATAGGGCCGGTGATTCGCCATGAGCAGGTCACCGACTCGGAGAGAAATGGAGCTCCCTTTGTCCTCCGTCGGAAACTCGAAATCGCGGGCGACGACTCGGAGACTGCCAGGCAGGGTGCACAGCCGAAGCGTTTCCGTGACAGCCGCATCCGCACACGGAAACAGGCGGAATAGCAGCTCTTTGTCCGCAGCAAGCATGCTAAGGAGGTCGCCGTCCGACTGCTCTTCGACCGTGTTTCGAATCTCAGCAACGAGGCTTTCGCGAGCTTCAGCGTCGTTGGCCAGATAGGCCATCATCCACCAGATCGACTTGAGCAGATTCGAATTGACGCTCCACAGGAGGCTGAGGAGACAGACAGCCTTCTCGTGGAGAGGCAGGGTCTCAACAGATTTGAGCGCGCTGGAAACGATCTCGACTGAGGTGTCCGCAAAGGGTCCATTCTCCTCGATGTATCCGACCATCACCTTCAGCAGTCGGTTCCGCGCGCTCTTGGCTCCCACGGCCGTGAACGCGATGGGACTCATCAGGGTTGTCATGGCGTCATCGAGAGTGATGAAGTCGTCGTATGTGTCCAGGGGGAAGGAGGGGCCGAATATAACACTGGTCAAGGTCGAATACAACGTCCTCCCGATGACATCTGCCAGCTGATGGGACGTGTGACCGGACCGGGAAAGCTCCCGGAACCGCTGCCTCAGCTGCGCGTAGAGCGGAGTGCTGATACTGTTGGCGATTGCCCGCCGGGAAAGGTTGCGCCCGAACGTCGGTAAGAATTGCTCATGCACAGGCACTGAGAGCAGCTCGACATCGCCAGAGCTTCCCAGCGCGACAAGTGCACGGAAGTGCGGCTCGCGGTGATCCAGGGCATGGTTGAAAAAGAAGTCCTTGAACATTGATGTCGACGAGAGAATGTAAAGATTCCGGAGACCGACATTCAGCTTGAAAGTCGAGCCGTAGCGCAATCTGGCAAAGTATCAGCAGCGAGCTGGAACATGAGCGCATTGCAAACCTGGATCGTTCTAGGAAAGGGATTCGCCGCAGGTAGAAAAGCAGGCCAGTGTCGAACCCAAAGAGTCGAGTGGGAAGGGAGGGGACAATGGACCGGGGACGGTAAGAGTCATAGGCCAATAAACCGAAAAAGCTCAAAATGAGGGTTCCGGGGACGAGATAAGTTGAGCTATCCATGCTTGTTACAGCGAGTCTCCACCCTCAACGGCATATATGTGTTCTGCTATCTGGCAAGCGCCGTAACTCGATAGGCTGTGTGGTGATACTCAGCGGTCCCGCTGCACACTCGCCCACTCTGATTGGGTGCCCGGTTTCTACTGAACGGACGAAGCATAGTTGATCAGACAGATGTCTTCAAGGCAGTCCCCTGATCAGATTAGCCAGAGCGGAACAGTATCAACTTGCATTGTGCGCGAAACCGAGAACTTAATCATGGGGTTCTAAAAGAAGAACATAGAAGCTCGTGTACTATAATCAATCAAGCCTACATCGCACTAGCAAGAACTTCGATTCTATCTCTCGTGATCAGCAGGCAGGCACACGAACTGACAATGGCGGCCGCAACGCTGAGGAGAAAGACCGAATCAACAGACCGAATATAACCCGTGAGAACAAGGTCGCGGATCTCGATTGGGAAAGAGAAAACTGCTTTGATGCTTGAAAGAGCTGTGGCGATCGCGGTTGGATCTATCCCGGCGATTTCACCGAGATGATGTTTCAGCTGGGTGGAAAACACCGCTCCACCGATGCTGTGTATTTGGTTGAGCTAAAGCGCGCTCCTCTCCGAACTCTGAAACTCACGCGAGACCGACCGCAGCACCCAATGTCTGCGTAAATGTAACAACCGACGTTGCTCGGGAAAGCAGAGCTTCTTCCTTGGCGAAATCAGCTTGAACAACGACCATCTGTGCGCGTTCAGTGCCACAGCTTCAACACTGCGATCAATCAGTTCACCGTATTTTGGAGCGTCACGCCGAGCCCTACGCCGAGAACGAGCTGATATCCGATAATGCGGCCCGTCGATGAGTCACCATTGAGGGTAAAAAGCAATCCCGATCCGATTGCGCCGACCATGGGACCGAAAAAGAGGAAAGGCCACGGACGTCCGAATTTCTTTCAGCAGCAGCAGCACTCAGTATCTTGAATAATTCTGAAAGCTGACTCACGGTGATGACGATTCCGGAACATAGCGCCGCTGCACGAGGATGTGAGAAGGCTGAGGGCGGGATGAACACCGACCTAATGTTCCTGATCTGTGAAGCAGTTCAGAGATGGATCGAAAGTGGATCAGTCGAGAGGACGGACATCATGAAAGGGATTATATCGATCCCGGATCGCGTCGCGGAATGGCCCCGGAGCTGGTAAATGAAGGGCTATATCCATTCGATTCAGTAAGCACCACGCGCGTTATGAAAGATACATAGCTACATACCAGATAGTACTGCGAAGCGTCATTCGGGGTCAGGAAAATCTTGAGCAACAAGGCTCACCGTTGCAAGTATGAAGCAGATATTCACGAAAAACTTACATGTGGATGTCAGTGAAAGAAAATCAATGCTTGAGACGAGAGCGAAACTCACCCCTTCGATACATGGCCCAAGAAGGTTGCGCCGCGTAAACATTGCGAGAGGGAGAATACTGTTTTCGCCCGTCTTCAACTCCCATGCGATAAACGCCAGCAAGAATAACCCAGACTAGATCGGAGATCAGACTGCATACGTTCATAGCAATGGTTTTGAACCTACCAAGACCAGTAGCGCGATGACAACAGGGTCGTTCCAAGCGCGCACATTTCCGCCCCATTGAATCGGAATCAGGAACAGAGTCACCATCCCTACGCTGAGGAACACGCCGATCCAATCCAGAGATCTAACTGCCTGCATGGTCGTCTCACCCGACTCAGCTGCTCGAATGGCGGGCAGAAAGGCTACGATAGTGAGCAGAGCAACGCCACCAATCTGATGCGCCGTCAATACTGCAAGGCAGATGTAGGGATAGATAAAGAACCAACGGACCGGGAGATTGATATCTTGACAAACATGATGAGAAAGCGTCAACCATGAACAAAGCGAGGAGCAGTATACGCACAGAAACACCAGCTAGAGTGCGGCTTGAACGAGCCCATACACTACAAAGTACATGACTCACCGCCACGAAACATGGTCTGTTCATGGAAGAGAGGTCCAATGAGTGATGCTTCGTAGCATCAAAAACAGAAACAATCACCTGAGAAAACACCGCCGAGAAGCGGCCCAACGATTGAGGCAATGGCGTAGACACCTCCGAAGACGCCCATGAAAACCGGTCTTTGCCGAATGCTTGTAACCTGAAGAGTATCATCAGTTACCGTCTACGAAGTGAAAAACTGAACAGGGAACAATCCTTGGCTATAATGTACATCACCGAGACCATGAGACCGGAGGCGCCAACACCAGCAAACACTCTTCCGAATATCAAGACATTCACGTTCGGAGAAACAGCACAGAGCAGACTGCCAACTTCGAAAATGCCGACGGTCACCAGGAGAACGGTTTTGGCAGAGAAGATCCCGAGAATGCGCCCAAAAAAGAGCATGAGACCAGCCTGTGAGAGTTGTGAGCGGGAAAAGCGTAGCTCATCCACAAGATGCTGCGTGCCTGGGGAAGAAAGTAGGCACTGGCGATCCACGACAGGTCCGAGACTGCATTGAAATGAGAGGCAATGGTTGGGAGCGCGGTGGAAAGGATAGTCTGGTCCAAGGCGGTAAGGGCGAAGGCGAGCATGAAAGCACTAGCACAAGGAATCCATCAAGGCTCAAGTCTAGCGGGCATGAATCAGGGGACTCAACGTGAACACCAGGGCCAGTCGCGCCGGATTCAGCTTGACGGTCGGCCCCTGATCGTCAGTCTGCGAGACGTCGGTAGCGCTAGTATCTTCAACGTCTTTCTCCGTCATCGGCTTGCGTTTGGGTCGACAAAAGGGGAGCAGGAAAGCGATTTGGATGAGGTCGAGTCAACGGAAGGGTGAGAGCTGTGACAGTGGGCTGCGCGCTTCTCTCTGACATCGTGGAATCTTCACAATAACGTTCCAGCGCGGCACGGATTCGAGAAGGCTGTTAGACGTTGGGGCTCATTTCGAGCGGGCACATATCTTGATCAAAGATCGGGAAAGTAACAAAGGGGCGAGAAGCGTTACGAGAGCGACCCAGAAGGACTTGGAGTTCAGCGACACCCGTTCCAAGCACATGAGAAGTAAAATTCTGCATCGTGTTCATCAGCCGTCGTTTTCAGGGTAGGAGCCTAGGAGGTCAAGTTCCGAGAGTTGAGCGATCCATCATTCCGCTGCCATGGGGTGGTCACGTCAGCATCTGTTTTGATCTCTCTCCGCTCCGTCACCACAGCCTTGTGGATTCGGATTCCGGACTCGTGCGGCGAACGAGGGCATCAGCGCAAATGCGTCCTTTGACACCTCTGTGATTTCTTTCCGGCTCCGATCGATCCAAAGTCGATCTGGTCGCCTACGTCGCGTTTCGAAAGCAGTGTCGCTCTTACCCACGGCAGCTTTTTAGGCAAACTGGCGGGGACCTAGGCTCACTGCTTCACTCCTGTGGAAACAGCGATGGCTTTCCATTTCTCTGCGCTCTATCCGGGAGACAACTTCGCCACCGCGTCGGCCAGGCACGAGCAGTATCTGTTCGCCCAATTGCGGCTTCGACCCGGCATGCGCGTTCTTGCAGTAGGATGCGGCTCCGGACGGGCATGCATTGAGCTGTTGCAGTACGAGCAGGTCTACCTAGTCGGAATTGACGAAGACGAGCACAATGTAACAAGCCCATCCTCTTAGCGCCTTCCTCGTCCGAACTGACCGTCTGCGCGAAGGTTCGCGTTGCTCAGGAGAGCGCTGCGAAGAGCGGATTCGGGTCTCGAGCCGAGTTTGTGTGCCGTGAGTCCCGCCCTTCATTTCCTTCACAGTACTAATCTCGATCCTTCCAGTGAGTCCTCATGCCTGTGCAGACTACTTCGGGCCGGCGTCCTTCGACGCCGTTTTCAGCATTGAAGCTCTCAAGGTCAGTCGGGAGTAGATCTGATAAACTGTCTGACATGCATCCAGACGGCTTCATCCTTCCTTGATGCCTATGTACCATTGGCCACCGTTCTAAAACTTGGCGGAATGGTATGTGCGCTCCAATCATCTCGCACGCGAGGATAGTGACTGGAACTCAGATGGGCCTTTACGAATGGTGCTGGACATCAAGTGCAGACCCGATGTTTCTCGATCACATCCGGCTGGCTGAACAACTGGAGCACCAGACCCACATCAGTCATCGGCCGCTCGGTGATCGCACCTATCAAGCAGCTGCGGCTTCCGTGGAGCGGACTCAGATGTTGAGCCTTATCGAGACTGAAGATCTTGCTCAGCGACGGTCCGCGCTGTCTTGGTATGCACCGCTCCTCCGGGGATTAGCCACATCCTCCACTCGCTGGGCATCTGACTCGGACTGCGATGGAACGTTCGGGGCATTAACTCGCGGGGGGGCTGCAATCCTGGCCCGAGCTGGGCAGCTCAAAGTGAGTACTGTCTCGTCATCGGGTTTCAAGCTGATTACGATTCCCTAGCTTTTCACGCCAATGCTCCTTCTTGTTGCGCAACGCGTTTGACTCGGGCCTGATAGTCATATCGCCAAATCTGACTGAATCTAGTTTTCCTTTGCTTCCATCACTCCGTCAGGTTTCATGTGGTCTTCCTTTGTGTACTAGCGTTTCTCTTCCCGTGAGACGATGATAGTTCTTGAGCTTAAATACTTGGGTACGATTGTATTATACATCAGTCGTACGCGCTTCCATGTCCAATTCTACGTCGAGCGAAAGTCCAGCCGCATTGGAAGCTGCCCTCCAGCTCATCTTCTCCGAAATGGAGAAGACGCGCACGGAGAACTACTCTCAGCGTCCGCAGCCCATCATGTAACACGTGCACAGGCTGACTTGAGCCATCAGTCTCATCGATTGCATTCCTTCTCTACGACATCATCTTCCGGATCGACAAGGAGGTCAGTCGAATTATAGAAGCGCTGGCGTCTTTGATGCGTATGACCCGCAGTATGAATACGTCTGGAAGAGCCGTGGTTCAATCGTCAAATATCTCTATTTCTTTGCACGATATTATGGGCTCCTTTATAATGCGTGGGTTTTGTGACCAGTCCGGTGCGCACTAAAGTACTAATCACGCATGCAGGACCATCTTTGTCGGTATGATCCTTCGACACTCCGGTTTAGAACTGCACGATAAGTATTGCACCCTAGTCACCAATATCGTCGGCCTATCCCCTTCTGTATGCAACTTCTATGTGCGTTGTGCCCACAAAGTCTCATCTCATTTCTAGTTGTAATAATTCCTGCATTCACCACTATCAAGCGAAATCTGATGAAATCACATGAAGCTGCGCCAAGTGGTTCTGGTACGTTATAATGTGTGTCAGTTTTTATTCCATACCCAAGCTTCCACTTATACGGCCGTCTGGACAGGGCCGGCGACATCATATTCACAACCGTCGTGAACATCATCCTGATCATGCGGATCAACGCGATGTACATGCACAGCAAAAAAGGTCAGTAATGACCTCGTCGATGCGTTCAGAGACAAGTGTTAACTTTCAAGGATCATACAGTACTGGCATTCCTCATTAGTCTTCTTGCCAGTGAGCGACCTATATTCGTTTGATCTGTGGATCGGACTGAACACTTTCAGCGGAATTTGGGGTACGTTCATCCGACAACGGAAAGATGCAGAACTTGAATTGTCTTACTAGCTCGAGCTATATTCTTCCATCAAGAGCGGAATAACCACTGCGGAAACAGTCTTTTCCGCTCCACTCGGAATGCCTTGGCCAGGATGTTTCGCATATCCCAAAGTCAAATTCACCTTGATCTGTTGGTCCGTACACCGTTGTCTGGGATAGCAAGTTGACTGATAAACTAGACAGGATCCCAACTGCCATCATTGCAAGTGGGTGGTTGGGTTGGGTTATTTTTCGCACTCATCACTGATTATCGCAGCGATATTCTTCTTGATGACATTGGCCACGATGTTCCGTCAGAATGCGACAAATCTGCGGTCTATGAAACGCATTTCGCCGTTGTTCGCCTCCTTTGTCGGAGATGGTGTGATCTTCTTCTTCTTGTATGTGTCTATGTCTGCCGTTACAGTCGAGCACCGACCCCGGAATCTCCAGGATCTTTGCAATTCTCATGTCCACCATGTTCATGACACTCTTATTCAAGAACGCGCTTGCCAACTTTCTCGGCGGGTCAGTATTCTCGTGCCTTGGCTGTCTACTAGACAATGCTGATAATCGTGCATTGCACAGGTGGCTTATCGCAATCTACTCTTTCTCCGTGCGTTTATTCCCATCGGTTGGCCTCAAGCAGGGGCTGACAGCTATCTTGATTACAGGCATGTCGACTGATTCTCAACCTCCGTGAAGTCTCGCAGCGGTCTCTGGAGGATACAGTGATGCTGCACAGCACAGCTTTCAACGAAAGTACTATCCGGAGTCCGGTCTTCGCATCCGGATCGACCATCAATGCCAGTCGCGGTCACGTTGAACCGTCGGCGGACCTAGAGGTGCGAGACATGCGATTCCGACGCCAGACTGTCGATACGTAGTCATTTTGTCCATGTCTTGATCGGACCGTCGGATCGTTATCGTAGCCCTTGTGATGACACTGTACAAGCTACGCGAACCATCAGTTCTCACCAACAGCGGAGAGGAAACAGACTGAACCGTTTCAACGGCGGGCCAACGACCCTATCTCTGAATCGCAGACTGCGCTCGATCGATCACACGCTGTGCGCGACGAACGGCAGAGACACAAACCAACAACCGCATAACCAAGTCAACAGGTGCGGGACTGTACTGCATTCAGCCGACTCATCACAGATTGCAAGAACTGGCATCATTGTAACCACGTCATGGATTCCGTGAGGATGGGAGTGCGCCCAGATGTGTAGCCCGCAGGTGAGTCCTCACACCGCCCACCTTGAGAATCACTCAGATTGAGGGCTGATGAGAGGACAACACGCGCTATCTGGGTCGTATGCACCAAACTTTCGCTGCCTGCGCAGGCCGAGACGCGAGCGACTCTTAGAACATTGGTGAATCTATTTGGCAAGGAGGCATCCGATCGGACGAGAGTGCGCTACACAGAAGGAGCTGAGGCGGTAGGTTCATCTGCCTGTCCCTTTCTCTTGTTTGCCAGAGTTATCTCCAGCTGTTCAAAGGCGCTCAGCGCGGCGCTTCGACTATCACCTGCTCCTCCCCCAACCGCATTGACTCTCTTCTGTTCCAATCTCACTGAAGAGGGCCAATCTATTTCCGGGATGTGTGCGTCGGCGAGCTGTATGCGCAAGACTTCGACTGACGCGCGATACGCCGTCATAGATTCGTCGTACAGATCGTAGACGCAGACGGCGCAGCCTGACATGCAGCATTCTGTCCAGGAAAGACGTCTCAGGCATGCATCTGCGGACAGAGGAGCTTGAGAGAGCGTACCATCCGACTCAGGCGCTTTGGGCATCTCTGGGACCTTGAAGCCGCGAAAGTACCCATCGACACCCTGTCCGATCGGTGACGCTCCGACGACCGCGCCCATAGTGGATTCAGCATCTTCCTGGAGTCCGCTGAGTCGTGACATCTCGCTTTCTTGGGCTTCCCTGCCCCGAACGGACTGCTCCAGACGGCGCCAGCGGAGTGTCAGGTTCTGGCCACCTCGGACGAGATTCTTGCGGCCGAAAGTCGACGAAACAGGAGATGAGAGCGAGAAATAGCGGCACACGGGAGGTGATCCAAGCAGAATAGGTCTGAGCAGTATGCGGAGCATAGATGCATGATGATGCGACGGGAGTCAAGAAGAGAAATCACTTGTAAGCATAATTGACCCATACTGATCACTTATTGAGAGGGTGCTTAGTCAGGGACTTCGTAAAGACGGCCGCAGTGGAGTACAGCTCAAGGTACGGTCGCAGATAGAGATTATCACGTTATGTGCTCGAATTAGGTGGATGGTAAATAATAAGGGATTGATAAGTATTTAAGATTCAGGTCGCGAGACGGCCATTCAAGCTCAATGCAGACAGTAGACATGCGTATGGCGTTCACATGAACTCTTCACCTCAAGCAGGGGCCACCTGACCAACGATCCATCGATGCTCCCCAGGACCTGCCTCCACACTCGTTGTGGCGCACGCAAGTACCTCAAACTGAGAATTGAAGGAATAAGCACGTCTGTTGTCGCCGGCAGGCTCAGATCTTCAATGCCCTGGTGGTGTGCGAGGAAGTCACACAGAGCCTGGGGAGTAATCTGGAGATTGCCCTGAAGTAAGACACGCCGGAGATGGTGAAGGCGGAGAGATGCCAGAGGGGTGGAGAGGTCAGCGCGGGGGCCGTATGCAAGACAGTCGATCTCAAGGCGCTCGAGATTGGGGTTCGACTGCAGCATGTCGAAGATGGGGGCAAAGACGCTGGACCGTGTCGTTGCCAATGACGGAAGCGAGGTCACGGTGAGGATGAACGTCTTCAGCTGACGGAAGTGAGAAATCTGAATGACTAGACTTGAGAAGGGGCATCAGTGTTAAACACTGAAGGACGAACCGAGCTTGCGTCGAAAGATCCCCCAATGCGCAACTCCACCTTCTCGAGAAAGGAACTCGCTATCCCCAGCGACTGGAAAAGGCCATTCGGATTGAGGTTTGCATGTGTGCCGGTGTGATCAAAGGAGAAACGCCGCAAATTGTGCATGTTAGGTATCGCTTTCACTAGCCATGTACCCTTGTCTGCTGATCCTTGCGGAGTTCCAGATATTGAATACATCTCATTCAAGAGCGCCGTATATCCCCATCGCTTCCTGTGGGCGGTGCGAATGTCGATGCGGTGGACGCGTGCAGCAAGGTATGGCCGAAGGGCTAGCAGTGTCCACACAGCGTCGTCCAAGTCAGCTTGTATCTCTCGAATGTACAGGTGCCCTGGTACAATGACGCAGTGCAGGTATCGGGACGTCTGTGCCAGAGAGAATAGGTCCGCTCGTCGCGGAAGGTGTGACAAGATGAGTTCGAGGAGCTCGACGGGGAGGGCAATGAGGATCGTCGGTCTGGTGAGCGGCATGGTAGGTTAGAAACAGAGGGGCATACATTTTCGAACGTTTATATGCGTACCAGTACACTGCCCGTCTCTTTCGATTGTGTCGCGGTCTGCCAGCCCGCTGCGAGACTCCCGGATTGGGAAGATGTGTGTCGCGACAGCGGGGCCGGCACAAGGATGAGAGCGATGTCATACGATCAATATCGAGAGTGAATCCGTTTGAAGCGTGGTCTGACGGGGAGGCTCTGGACTAGGGAGCAGAACCCTATGCTGTGTGCGCAATCGAGGTGGTAAGAATGACAACAAATATTGTCAAACCCAGTGATGGCCGGGACACGAATCAAGAACCCTAGTCGGAATGTATAGCAAACAATGATTAATTTTTGCTTCAAACGCCTAGAAGCAACACTATTCAGGATACTCTACGATTATGGAATTAGGCTAAGAAAGAAGTTTCTGGATGCTAGGGTTCCTTTTCCAAGCTAAATGACATGAAAATGCCCACGCAGACAAGGACCAGAAGCAAAGCATACACCAAATAGCCCCCCAACCAGTTGTTCTGAACGGAGACAGCAAAGAGCGAAGATGCCATGAATGGTGCCATGGCACGGGTGATTGTCGCGACCATCTGACTGAGAGAGTTGGTTTTGGAGAGCGCCGAGGGCCGCGGCACACTCCGGACTATGAAGATCTGTAGTGAAGCTGGAGTCCAATAGTCAGTGCCAGTCAAGAGATGTGAATAACAAACTCTACCGAATGTTGTGCCCACCCAGAGCCCAGCTGTGAGCTGGATCGTGATGACGCACCACACCAAGGCATCGACCCGTCCTGCTCGCGTCGCCAAGAGCGAAAGTATTGGGAAGGCACCAAGACAAATTAGGAATTGCGAAAACGCGGTGATGTACGATGTACGCGCGCCATATCGTTTGATAATTCGAGCCGGGACAACCAGTGCAAAGACGGTACTGATGACGCCAGAAATCCCGCGTGTCATTCCAATGTCGTATGGACTGAATCCAAGTCCACCATTCGCGATACTTGTAGCATAAACCAGGGGAAAGAGCACTTGAGAATCATGGATGTCACAATCAAAATTCTTCGAAGAGCAGATTCGATCCAGACCTTGGTATGAAGTATGAACGAGAGAGAGAATTGCGGAATTGACCAAGGGGATTGTTAACTTGGGGGTGAGGAGCTCCCAGACATCGGGAGCAGCGTCCTCTGCCTTGGACGTTGGCGATATGGATCCATACACATTGGTTTCTGCGGCCGTATCGTCTCCGAGCAGCGGGCCTGCTTCGTCAGTGCGTTTATTTTGACTAGCTAAGATGGCAGGCGAAGTCTATGGTCGTCATTCAGTTTGGATTAAGAACTGCAGCCGGCGCACTTCCGCTCACCTCCTTCAGAGCAAACAATGCGAACAAGAATGTCAGTAGCGATGAAAGGCCGACCACGGCACAAGGGAGGAGATAAGGATTCTCCTGAAGGATCCGAAGCTTTCCGAGAGATTCGGGGAATCGCTTCGCTGGTTCAGAGAGTAACCCGCCGATGACAGGCCTATTCGCGCTATCAGCGATGCGATCGTTGTCTAAGACCGATGTATCGTCACCCGAATGTGCTACTGGAGCTCCAAGCGACCGGAGTGAATGACATCACTTGCGCGAGATTCGACTTGTCGGATAGCTGCTCCAAGTCAAATCAGAGCGTTGTATGTTTTTATCCCGCTCACCTCGACCAGCACAGTTTGCACAACGCCTAGCAAGAACCGCTCAGGTTATATGACGAATAGGTAGACTGAACGCACCCAAGTTCCCGTTGAAGATCCCCTGAGCACCCCGCCAGAACAACAGCCCCCAGAAGGTCTTGGAACAGCCGAATCCGAACAGCGATACGGCGAGACCGAGAGGGCCAATGAGAATAATCGGCCTGCGTCCGAATCGATCGGCAGCCCGAGCCCAGATATACACGGATAGGAATTTTGTGATGAAAAACAATGATTCCTTTGGATTGCGAGTGAACTCTCTCGCCGATTGGACTGGTTGCCTAGCTCACCAACACGCCGGCCCAATACCCAGTCTTGCGCTCATCTCCACCAGTGATGCCAGTGTCTTGAACGAACTTTGGAACAAACGGGAAGATCACTGTACTGCAACGCAGGGCGTAAGAAAGTCTGTGCGGGATCGCAAATCACCTCTTACCCGGCAAAGCCCTCGCCAGCCTGGAGAAGGGCCGCAATGGTGATTTGTAGCTTTGGGAGTGGGGTCGACGGTCCAGGATTGAGCGACATCGAGTAAGGCTGGAGCGCTCAGACTGCGTCACTTTCTTTAAGTAATGGGGCCCAGGAACCTAGAAGCCGAAGTCATTTTTGGCGTCGCGCTAGTGATGAATCGGCGGTAAGTGTAATAGAAGCCGCCGAGGTCGCTTCCCACCTACGGGCTGTCAATTTCAATATTCAGATCCGAATTGGCCAACAAGATGTTTCTACGGAGCGGGAGCTTATCATACTCGGTATCATATCACGTTGGTGACGCAGGCCCCGGTATCTGTCTGAAAATCTGAAAAAAGCGACAAACGGTACCTACTGGTCTCCTTGATGAGAGCGCGTGCCGGCGTCCCACT